GGGACAGGGAAAGGGGGAAGGAGGAAGGGAGGGAGGGAATAGTGGAGGGGAGAGTGTGGCTGGGACCTCGGCCATCGTTGTCCCGCGTTGGCGTCCCATCGTTGTCCCGCGTAGGCGTCCCATCGTTGTGTCGCATTTTGTTGTCGCCTCCTCGTCGCGTGTTCGCGTTTTCGTCGTGTGTCCGTGTTTTTGCGTTATTCGTGGGCGTTGTCGACGCCGTCGTCGTGGGAGCTGGTTGCCGTTGGGGGCGTCGTCGTGGGTGGCGTTGGTGTGGACGTGGTGGTTTTGGTAGGCGGCGTGGTGCCGTCGTGTGTCGTGTGGGCGGTGCGTGTTTTTCGGTGGGTGGGATGTTTTCGTGGGCGGGGTATGGTTTTCGTGGGCGCTGGCGGTGTACATGGGCGGTGGGCGTCGTTTTGTGCCCGTCGGGTGTTGTTTTGTGTCCAGGGGCGTTGTTTTCGTGGGCGTTGGGTGTTTTCGTGGGTTACGGTGCTCGTTGTTTCGTGACGTGGCGTCGCTGCGTTGTTGTTGAAGGCTGTCGTGGTCGATGTTGGTGGTCGTGGTGGCCATGGGTGATCGAGGAGCGACGTTGGCGGTGGTGGCTATGGGTGACGGTGATGGCGTGGCGTTGGCGGCGGTGACAAGCATGGTGGTGGTGGTGGAAGAAGAGGGTGGCCATGTTTGGTGAGCATGTTCACCAAACAAACATTGTTTGTGATCCATTGAAAATAAATAAACTATAACACAGTAACAAATAAATAAAATAAACAGATTGGACTGGAATCCCATTCCTGCCCACTCCGGGGAACACCATTCCTGCCCATTCCGGGGAAGACCATTCCGGGGAACATTCCGGTGTACATTCTGGAATCCACCGGAATTCCACCGGAATGGAAAACACCGGAATAAACAATTTAGCAGGGCCTTCTGCTAAATTCCATTCCACCGGAATCCACCGGAATTCCACCGGAATGACCGGATTCCTGCAGAAATAGGGGGGGCACTGCTAAGACCTCCTGTAAAGTACTGCACTCTCGCCTACCAATTCAAACTGGTTATCACAGGTTGGGATTCTGCTATGGTCGACATAGCCTTCTGCCCGGGATTTGCACCTACGAAGATCACAAGCTCTCAATGGAAGCACCTATCAACTCTGATTGTAAAGAAGCTCTTGGTGGTGAAGCCCTGGTCTGATGGTAAGTTAGATAACATTCTGTTGACTTACATCTGTCTGAGTTGTTTTTTTAGAGCAAAGACTAATCCCAAAGAGTGAAGCTTGCTTCGGCGAGATCCCTGTCATTATTAACTCCGAAGGTCTTCCAATGGTCTTCGTCAAAGACTTGACTAAATGGGTCCATCACAATTGCTCTATTTCGGCCCCAACGAGGAAGCGCAATCAGAAAGGTGATACATCTTCCCCTGTCAATTCTTTCCCTTCGTCTCCAGCATTGTCCATGAAGAAGTGATCACATGACACCGCCATGGCCTCACCTGAAGAAGAACTCAAGCACAAGTCCACAAGAGAGTACTGCCCTCTGCCAAAACAACCAGAAGTGGAACCTCCCGCTAAACACCAACATCACGTCTCCTTTGCCTCCCTTCCCGATAACATGTTTTATACCAAACTTTGACAAGCTGAACATCCAATCTCCTTCTTTGACCCACTCAAGAACCAGAAAACACCGGCTTCATCGTCTTGTTCAGTCTCTCAACCCTTCGCTAGTTCTTCAGGTCACGTTGCCTCATCATCTTGATCAGTATCTCAGCCTTTCGCTAGTACTTCTGGCCATGCTCGTGTTTCAGGCAAACGTGCTGGGCCAGGGAAGAACTCTCAAGATTCAGTTGCTAACTAGGTGATTGCTTTCATGTTAAGTCCTTTTGGACTTATTTTTATTCCATCTAACTTGGTTGTTGTGCTGCTCGTTTGGTATTTCCTAAGTCCTTACTTATGTCCATTCACACATCTGACTTGTTCATTTGTAGCTGTGTTCCCAATTTTGCCTTTGCCCATACATCATTGCATAAGTCCTTTATGATGTTCTTTCATCAATCTGACTTGATGGTTTTAGGCTGTGTCCCCTCCTTTTGCCTTTGTCCACCTACACACCTCACTCCACCCTTTTTGTAAGTTCTTTTCATGGTCTGTTTCACCAATCTGATTTGTTTGTTTAGACTGCATCCCTTTCCTATAGTCCTTTGTAAGTCCTTTATGCCATGCTTTACTTGATCTAACTTTGGGGATTGCAGTAATACACATGTCTTTTGTTGGCTGTTCCTTCACTGTCTTTACCCATGGCTATCCTTCCACTCTTTACTTACACATTAATATCCTTCACTCAGTTTTGACTTCACTCTTTACTTACATATTAATATCCTTCACTCAGTTTCGATCAAGGCACTTGCTTGATTTTCTATCAACCCACTCAATCACTCCCTTTTGATTATGCTTACATCACAAATACAGATATTGGTTCAAAATATATTTCGAAGATATATCTTGACTGAGGATATATTGGAAAGAAATAGATCCTGGTTTGAAATATATCTGGATTCATTTTATAGTTCAAAAATATATCTTGGTAATATATACTCCTTCAAGATAAAGTGGAAAGATATATCCTTGTCCAAGATATGGCTTAAAAATATATCTTGGTGATATATACTGGTTCAAGATAAATTTGAAAGATATATCCCTGTTCAAGATAAAGTTGAAAAATATATCCTTGTTCAAGATATAGCTCAAGAATGTATCTTGGTAATTATCCTGGTTCAAGATATAGCTTAAGAATATATCTTGGCAATATATTCTAGTTCAATATCTTGTTGAATATATATCTTTGTTGAGGATGAAGTTGAAAAATATATCCTTGTTCAAGATATAGCTTGAGAATATATATTGGTGATATATCCTGGTTCAATATCTTGTTGGAAATATATCCTGGTTGAAGATATAGGTGAAATATATATACTGGGACAGGATGTAATTGAAATATATGTCTTGTGAATATATCCTTGTTCAAGATAAAGTGGAAAGATATATCTTGATTCAGCATCTAATTAAAATATTCATGATATGGTTCAGAAATTATGTATCTGGATTCATGATATGGTTGAAAAATAGATCTTGGTTCAGGATTTAGTGAAGAGAGAAGAAGAGAAAGATCAAAGAACTTTGTCAGAGCTCTTTGTCCATAAATTTACAATCAAAACTTAAGAGAAAGAGTAAAGAATTTCATAGTGCAAACTGTATCTATAGTGTCAAAGTGGATAATATGCAAGCAACTACTCAGGTAGGTTGCAGATGCTATTGATGCCCCTTATTGCTACCTACATACTGGGAGGACAGACCAGACATACTGCCAAAACCCTGGAAATCATTGCAGAATCTTCCAGAATATATATCCCAGACAGCAAAAAAATCACAAGTTTTTTTGGTGAAACTAGGACCCCTGACACCCCTACAGACCCAAAAAATATATCCTTACCACATCTGTCTCCCAAAATATATCCTAAGGCCAAGCCAGGGCAAAAATATATTTCTAAGGTGTGACAGTGACATTTCAGGGTCCACTCACCAAAAATATATCCTTACTGCTTTTCACTTGCAAAATATATTTTGGTGGTGTGACACAGACATTATAATTTTTGTGTGACATTTCAGGGTCCACGTCTCAAGAATATATTTTAGATTTCAGGGCTTTCTAGGACCCATATATATCTAGAATATAGATATGGTCCATGACATTTAGTCATGTAACTTATGTGTAGTTTGCATGACTAATAGTCAGTTGGCAGTGGGTGACTGAAGTGGACTTGGACTACAAAAGCTTGGACTTAGACTACAAAGTTAGGGTTAGGGTCAAAAAGTTATCTTGACTACAAAGTTTGTAGTGTTCGCTTTTTGAGACTACAAAAGTTTGTAGTGTTGCGCTTTTTCATTACAAAAGTTTGTAGTGTGTGATTTTTGAAACTACAAAAGTTTGTAGTGTCCGCTTTTTGAGACTACAAAAGTTTCTAGTGTTGTGCTTTTTCTTTAGAAAAGTTTGTAGTGTCCACTTTTTGAAACTACAAAAGTTTGTAGTTGACATGTAGTTCATGGTGTCCTTGGCCCTATCTATGTTATGGGGATGAGGTTGAAGGATTGCCATCATATTGCCAGTGCTATAGCATTAGTTTTTGAGATCATGCACAAGTTGTCTTTCATATTAGGAAAGGCTATTCTATGCCTTCATATTGATACCTACTGTCCTATCTCAAAACATAATTGTAAGCTCATGTAGGGATATGGCTGAAGGATTGACATGACTTGACATATTGCTATTGCCACATCATCAGTTTCTCACATCATGCCCAAGTTGGCTTGCAAGCTAGAGGAGGCTATTCATGTTGATATCTACTCAATGCATGGTCAACTTACAACATGACCTGACTTAAAGACACCTCCAAGGATGAATCAGCCCATCATCCTATGGCCCTCAAAGAGCTGTATCAACAGGGCCACATTTGGAAAATCACAATGAAATACCCAGGGCTACATTTGAAAAATCGCAATGAAATGCACAGGGCATCTATTGAAAAATCACAATGAAATGCCCAGGGCTACATTTGAAAAATCACAATGATATTGCTCATTTAGCTAATGAAAGTCACAATGATATCACCCAGGCACCTAATGAAAATTCGAATGATATCACCCACATAGCTGATGAAAATTCCAATGATATCACCCATGTGGATAAGGAAATTTCCAATGATATCGCCCAGGTTTCTAATGAAAATTGCAATGATATTGGCCAGATAAATAATGAAAATCGCAATGATATTGACCAAGTAGTCAATGAAATTTCCAATGATATCGCCCAGGTTTCTAATGAAAATCACAATGATATTGACCAAGTAGCTAATGAAATTTCCAATGATATTGCCCAGGTTTCTAATGAAAATTGTAATGATATTGACCAAGTAGCTAATGAAATTTCCAATGATATCGCCCAGGTTTCTAATGAAAATTGCAATGATATTGGCCAGATAAATAATGAAAATCACAATGATATTGACCAAGTAGCTAATGAAATTTCCAATGATATCACCCAGGTTTCTAATGAAAATTGCAATGATATTGGCCAAGTAGCTAATGAAATTTCCCATAATATTGCCCAGGTATCTAATGAAAATCACAATGATATCACCCAGATAACTAATGAAAATCACAAATGATATCGCCCATGTAGCTAATGAAATTTCCAATAATATCGCGCAGGTATCTAATGAAAATCACAATGATATTGGCCAGATAACTAATGAAAATCGCAATGATATTGGCCAAGTAGCTAATGAAAATTGCCTAATGAAAATGCATGGTAACTGGAATGATTCCTATCATAAAGACTGTGGACTTATACACAGGGAGCCCTAGGCAGTTACCTTATTTTTATGATAAAGGTGGTACCCACTAGTGGCGAAGCAAGAAGCACGTGCAGCACAGAAGAAAGAGGCATTGATGCCAGCAGAAAAGACAATCATACCAAAGAAGCGAACAAGATCGGAAATGGAGGAGGGCGTCACAGAGAGAGTAAAGTAGATGTACCAGCAGCAGCGGCGAATAACCTTCCACCCCTTTAACGTTGTCCTCCACTGTCCTATACATGCCATCATTGTCAGAGCTTAGGATCAATGAAGACTCAAATTGCCTTGTTCGATGTGCTGCGCTGTTGGCAACACCAAGAAAGGAGGTCCTATTTCCAGACTTGCCTTATGGTTGATCATGTGTTAGCTCCAGACCAGCGTTGTCTCTCCTTGTGGTGAAATGAGGAGTGCCCTCAATCCTACCCGACGCACAGCTGTAGCGTTGCCATAGTGTTGGTAATGGCGGTGAAGCATCTTTGCCTGCTGCTCCCAGTTTCATCACTGGTAAGCTAGTACACCTTCACAACTAGCTGGTCAGGGGTTAAATATACCAAGAGAATCAATAGGCAAGCCCACCAGGTTTTCAGCTCATCCTGCATCCTGACTCAGTTAGCTTCCCCAAAGCTTCCCTCAAGATCAACTGAACCACCCTTGAACCATGTTTGAAAGGTCGAGAAATGACAAAGGATGTATGGATGTTGGAAGTCCAAGGTTAATTGGTGATGATCGCGGCAAACATTGACTTTCTCTCACACATTTGCCATTTACAGCAGCTCATGCCTACCCTTCTCAGTGAACTTTGAGCAAGCACTTTAATGCCAGCTCTTCAATGCACGTCGTACATCTGGACTGCCTCCATCCCTTTTTTCTCTGCCCAGTTCTCAAATTCAAATCTGGATGAAGTGGATTGTCAGGTGCGAAGGCACATTTCCATGCTCCTGGAGCTAGGGCTATCAGCCAGGGACACCGTTTTCATACTCCACGGCAACCCAATTACCTTAAATCACTCCAGTCCCCCATTTCTGTGATCAGTTGACTCCGATCTGGACCTCTGCACCCCCAAAATAGGACAGTATATAAAGTTCTGTCATACCTTTTTATTGCTCATCCGGTTTCTTGCCATAACCCTACCACTACAGCCACCACCACCACCACCACCCACCCCGCCAGCATTTTTTTCGTTCCTGTGCCCTCTGTAGCATGTACACTCGATATACACAGAAATAAATGTCTCTCTCGCAACTCCATTTGCCCTCCTTCAGTCTATTGGTAGGCTCACATCGCTGCAGCTGCAGCATACTCTTTTCTGAGCTTCTCATTTGCAGGACACGATGGACATGCGAACGCTGACAGGTTTTATTGTCTATAGTTGCGAATACGCAGTAGGTCTTCTCATTACTTTGGTCACTTTCACGTGCTTACTGAGCCATTTGTCCAGCGTGACCAAGATACCGCGACCCTCTTTGAAGGTGATATCCAGATGGTGGATCCGAAAGGTTCCTTTTGGGTATGGACATCGAATTGGTTATGACACGTTCAAGGTTTGATGTACTCATCACACCACTTTCAGAGTCAATTAAAGATGTTCTGCAAGGGTTTGGGACGCAAGTAGATTTATGTTCAAGTTGAAGTTCATTGGACGTGGCCATAGTGTGTCTTCCAGCTTTTCTAACTTGTTCTTGTGCATTGCTATCTTATCATTGCTATCTTCATTGTCATTGAAAAACACCGGCCACGTTCATTCAATTCACCTATCTCTTGACTTAGGTGATATGTAGAGAGGTCTTTACCTTCCCCGGTATAATCCATATGGAATCCATGTGGAATCCATGGAATCCATGAAGAATTCCATATGGAATCCATGGAATCAATGTTGGCTGAGGACACAGCCAGTTTCTGATTCCATGGACATCATGGATTCCATATGGAATGATGCTGGAATGGTCATGGAATGATTAATTCCATATGGACTCCAACACCATTCCATATGGAATGCAGGCATATCCACATGGATTCCATGGAGCAGTCCATATGGATTCCATGGAAGGAATTAATGACTATTATACCATTAGAATACATTGTCCTTACTATAAGTAAGTAAAATAAATTTTTTTACATTTCGAGGAATTGAACTCTCGACCTCATGAATGTAAGCAGCGCTCAAGCCAACTGAGCCATGAAGACATTATTATATGAGAAACTAAAGGTATGTATATACCGCTTTTAGGCATGTGCCGCGTCAAACGTGACAGCTGTGGCTGAAGCGTTGCCACGTCGTTCTTTCCTTCCTACCACCACCATCACCATCCACCACCCCCGTTTCAAACCACGACCGCCCGCGACATCGACAACGACGACAACGACGCTGACGCTGACAACGCGTGACAAGAGGTAAGTGGGAACAACCACCCCACCCACTCTCCTTTTTAACACAAACCACAGGTGCCACGTCCAGCCAGTACATCCAGAATTATGTATCAGGTATAGTCTATTGACTAAGTCTACCTATGCATCACAGCAGTCAATTGACCAACCTTCCTAATCAGGAAGGTAGCCTTGCTGAGCTCCCTAGAGCCAGCCTTGGTGCTCACTGATTCCCACGGCTTGCTCACTGTTTTCAGGGTCCAAAAGCGCACTTCCAAATGTGGTTGTTTTCAGGGTCCAGGGCACATTGCCAAATATGGAAATGTGTGCTTATCTAAAGGAAAAATAGCAATAAAATAGCAGAAAAATCAGAAAAAAATGGGGGATGGTGGTTATGATGGTAGGTTGTTTTCAGGGTCCAGGGGATGTCCAAATATGGCAATCTATCCAAACATGGCCAGAAAATACCCGAAAAATCAGGAAAAATTGGGGGATGGGGTGATGATGTTAGGTTGTTTTCAGGGTCCAGGGGCTATGTCAAAATATGGTAATCTATCCAAAAATAGCCAGAAAATACCCGAAAAATCAGGAAAAATTGG